TGTTGCTACTAGTTAAGAAAAAGTAGTTGAACATTGAAAAGTGAACGCTGGAAAGAGATAATTGAATTGAATTATGATTTGCACAGTGAGACGTGCCCATGCAGTCTAGTCTAACTTAGCCGCCCTGCATAATGTGTGTTGAAATCGATCGAACGGAGCAGACTTCTTATTTATCCCGTATAATGAATTTGTTTGACAACATTGTCATTCTACCCGCACAAAAAATTTCCAGCCCTCGGAATATTGGCCTACGGATTTCCCCAAGTATACAAAAACGTGTCATTTTTCACGCCCATGTGTATTGCTAACCCGCGATATTCTGGCGTCTCGTTTATCTAGACTACCTGGTTAATCGCCCCCCGCGGCCCGCGTCTCTATTCTATCACTAGTTTAATTTGATTTAAATTATAACCTTAACCCTAGTACTTAGCTTTTCGCCCTATTGATTTGGTTTCTATACTGTTTTGCCAGAATTTAATTAAGACCACGCGTTTAATTCGCTTTATTCATTCATGTCTTTATAAAGGCAAATTTCACTTGGGCTTCAGCCCGATTTAAGCCCGGATCCTTCTCGCCAGGGACCACCGTCCTCTTTGCCGGTCCAGACTAAACTCCCCACAGTCATATCATAACATCCAAACTTTAACTAGGCAAATATTATTTACTATATGATCATCAGCGTTTCCAGATACTTCTCGCCATACTATGGGCTACTGTGTTTTTCGGCCTTTCTTTAAAGTGGTTCTCAACTGGTGGGTCGCGACTCCCGTGGGGTCGCAGACGTGTCCGAGGAGGCTTCTTCCAGCCTGATTTCAAAAAAGGATCGCGGAGGTGTTTATAGAAACCAATTACGTTCAATGAGATCGATTTCAGCTTTATCTCGGCACAATTTTATTACGTAGGAGCATTGAATACAAATCTTTTTTCAATGGTAGGAGACTAAACGGGATCTCGTTTACTCCAATTACAAAATGAGATAAATGTAGGGTTGCAATGTAAATATGCCTGGGTATATCGGTATTTGAAGATTAGGTAAAGTATCGTAATTGACACTAAAACTTTTACGAAATTATGCTAAGAAAAGACTTTTGCAAATGTTAATTTAATCCGAAAAATCTGGAAAATGTATTGGTTGGCGTTGGTTAAAAAATACAAAGGGAATGTATAAAACTTTTCAAATTATATTTTTCATTTTAACGTCCTGTCTGTAACAGAACCTATCTTTTCCTGAATGACGGACACATGTAATTTTATCATAATGAATGTGAGGAATGTTCACAAAATTTAATCAGTCAGTCCCTTGGCCATTGTCTACCTATTGCTGAAAACAGAGTTGGAAAATTCGAAACCGATCGCGAGTTATCATGTAGGTACACAATTTATCATTATCATGTATCCATATGGACGGACCAGAAAGTCTAGTTGATGAGTATTGATC